CCATACAGAGATTGTCTCGAGTGCTGATGCACACATTAGAATCAGTAATGGCTATGTGAGTTATTTCAGGGAACTCGCTGAAGAAGGTCCAGTCATTGGGTGTGTCTGCATCTGGTTGGCTGGAGTGCTGTTTTGGTTTTCTCATGTAGTTTATGTAGCCACTCCCCATGTAATTATTTGCCTGTGCCTGGGTAAAGAGATTGAACAAATAAAAAAAAAAAAAATCCCAAAAAGGCCAATCAACCAACATATACAATATGCCAGCATCAGTATCTATACAGACCCTTTGAGCAGACACCTTCCTCCACTGAATCCCCTCAGTACCGGACACCGATATTTCATGTGATATTGGGCCGCAGAAGTTGTCTTTTGAACCACACTGGGCGTGGGTGGTGCTGGAACACGAGCCACTTCGGTCATCTTCGTCCCTCAGATCCAGGTGGGTTACGGGGAAAGTCTCAGTGCCAAAACGCGGTGCCAAGTGCTCGAGAGTAGCGATGTACTTGTACATGATTTCCTCAGTGCACAGGTTGCCCCGATCCACTGTGTGCTGCTGGAAGGACCGCACAAAGTCTTTAAACACTCGCTGGATCCTGAGTTTAGTCAGGAAGTTGTCTCTGGAAATGTGTTTGGCGAAAGATCTTGGAACGCAGTCTAGAAAGCTGAAAAAAAAGAGGTATAGTGATATTATCTGAACTTACTGATTAGATTGGATTAAAAAGACATTTGTTACAGTAGCAGAAAATAACATTAACAGTACAAGATATAAACATATTATAAGCCATTTAAGAATGAAAGCTTAAAGCACTATTTGGAAGGAGGGATTGCGGTGTGATCAAGCCAAAGTATATACCTGACTTTTGAAGCTACATCTTGCAAAGTTGATTCCGTTTTAATTGCCTGGTATGAGAGGTGAAGCACAGCCATTCCCAAACTCTCATTTTTGAAGCGAGTCTGCTCCTCCTCTGTCTTGACGTCTTCCATTTGTACCACTTCATTCACAAATTCATACTTAGCCTGATTTGGAAAAGATACTATATTATTGTCAAGACAGGAACATTATGAGTGTAAAAGCCTGCCATTACAAAAAAAAAAACCCCAAAACAACCTGGGAAAATAAATACTCCAGTGAAGTTGTGTCAAGTAAAGGGAAACCCCGTTTTGAACCAGATTTGGGAGGATAGCGGCACATCATGGGCTCGTTTTCATTCAGTCCATGCCAGTTCCGAAAGTAATACCTAAATACAAAAAGACTACATCAACATCCTCGCTGTATGTTATCTGTGTCACAAGTACAGTGTCAAACAAACACACTCACCTCATACAATAGCGAAGTACAAGGCTCGGGTTTTCCTCTGGCTTAAATATGTGGTTTGGGCTGTACCAAAAGTGTCTTTCTGGGTTGTACAGCGCAAACAGTGAATGGCACAGAGCCGTTATCCCTGAGGAGGAAACATTGATGTTACACACTGTTGCCACTAGCAGGCTCAAATACCACATGAAAAGAGAGAAACACTTTCATTTCTGGACTGTGCATTTGGTGGAGCCTTTTCCTCTTACCAACGGTCTCTGCTGCAGAGATACACAGCTGCTCCGCTGTGACCTCTCCTGTGGTGTGAGACAAATATTTCTTTCCATCTTTTGTCCAGAAAAGGTAGACATGGATGCCCTGATCCTTCGGAGGCTCGCTCAGGCCTGAAAACGATCCTGAAGATCTGGACCTCCCTCCCATTACTGACACACACAGACAAACGGCACTTTGACCACAGCGTTAAGAAAATCAGCTACATAAACGTACTGTGGTATACATAAATACTAAACAAGAGTAAGTTTAAAGCTTCTTTAAAATAAAATGTATTGCTTTTATTATACATTTCTCTCTTTAAAAAAACAAAACAAACAAACCTCATATCTTACCAAATAACAAAAAGAAAGGAAGAAAAAATATGCTTTAACAAATATGACGTCAGAAAACCCGATCAATATGTCGATAGGCCTATCGGGGATTACGCCTTATAACGTATTGTTTACATCACGTCAAGCTACTAACTATTCGAGGACACCGATTAAACTATACGAAGACGCACAGTACAACAAAAGTTTGCTTTTTTCCCTTCCATCTGACGTTATATAAAAGCAAACTGACCGCGTTATCGCGAGGCCCAAATCAAGCCTCGTTTGCACTTAACAGCGTACGCGACACCACAACAAGGAAATATATCAACAGCAAGTGGGAGCTGTAAACTTAGCAACCTGTGCGACAGTAAAATATCTTACCGTTTGACGAGCGTCTTCTAAAAGCTTCGCATTAAAAATAAAAAACATAAAAAAGACACCTCAGCACGTCAATATGATTGACAGTTAAAGCTTCATAGTTCTGCGAGTGTATTTCCCCACCGCCGCCTACACTCTCGGGTTCTCGCGAACTGTGAGCAACGACGGCAGCGCGCTGCTTCCCGAAACCAAGACGCAGGGCCACTCCTTCCGTCGCCAGCGTACGGGTACGCATTAGCACGTGCCTTTCAAAATAAAACGTTAAACTGTTCCGCTTTTATTTGCGGTTAATGTAAATCAAAGACAAAGAAAGGAACAGACTAACAAAGTAGAGGAAATACTCTTAATAGATATATGCTTGTAATAATATCTGTCCTATGACACTTTCTTACTTCTCCTTCCGCACAGCCAAAAATGTAAAGTAATAAATCGTTCTCCCAGACTCATAGTCCATAGATTAAGTCAATATTGTATTTTCTACCTGATTTCATTTGGGGTTTTTTTTGTTTTGTTTTGTTTTTAAGCAGGGGCGTTTACAGGATTTGTTTTTTTTTCATCAGGGTGGCCCACAATGCAGGGAATTTCCATCTTTCTCAGTTCATTACACCTTAAATAAGATAACTGTGTGTGTGTTGAAAGTGGTACTGCAATAAAATAGTTATTATTAGCTATTGTTATTACACCCACACCAATGACCGGGAGCTTTGGGTAGCGACTTAAAGGATGATATCACGGGGCCAAAATGAGCTTACTCTGCAGGGTGTCTGGGCTCTATGTCAGAGGTAGGCCCAGTCATTCAGGAGGGACTCTGAGTAAAGCTGTTGCTCCTCCACACCGCAAGGGGCCAGGTGTACTGGACCTGCAAAAATATTATCACTCTATACCGGGCTTCAGTTTTACAGATGTTAACCTAAAAATAATTCCTATAACAATATTAAAAAACAAAGTCTTGTGGCACTTTTATACCATTAAAACATACAATAACAACTCTGCATAACTTTTGGTGGCATAACCTATGCCTAACCTTGTCTCTTTTTTCCAAGTACAATATCCTAATCATCGATTTATGTCCTCATTAGACACACTTTGTTGATATGTTTAAGTCACTTGTTTTGCATTTCAACATGGGAACAATGTGTATTTTAAAGTTTAATGTTTTGGAAAAACTTTCCCTGGAAACCTGGGATGAATATTTTCTTCACTGGCATCTCTCTAAGACTGAATCAAAAACATCCAAATAAACAAATCAACTTGTGCTTGCTAAAAGTATTGGTTTAGACCAAATTAGTCAGCTCTCATGTTTTGAAGGTGAAAATTGCACATCAGATCATTTAGGACGCAGGTGTCAAACTCCAGGCCTTAAGGGTCGCTGTCCTGCTTGTTTTCCAGCTAACCTGCCCTTGTAGCTTCTTATTGGCAAAGCACATCTGATCCAGGTATTAGCAGCAGGTAGGGCAGGGATATCTCAAAAACAAGCAGGATGCTGGCCCTCGAGGACTGAAGTTTGACACCCCAGATTTAGGAACATCATAATGGCATGCCTAAACTTCTTGATGTGCCATTAAAGCTTTCTTTGAAAGCTTGAAATACAGCTCTACACAGGACCTCAAAATACAACTGAAATAAAAGTCTATTAACTAACTTCTTTGTGATGGCCCCCCAGTCCTCCTGTGACCATTATATCTGCTGCTCATCTGCTCATCAGAGGGGATCGACCCAAGTACCATAGTATTAATGCCAATGCTGGTATTAGCATCAGATCAAAACATACTGAATTTATCCACTAACTTCAGTATTTTTTGTTATTTTTTTGGAAATAAAAAATATCCCTCAAACATGCAGTATGAAATGTTTTATTTAAAGAACACATTTATAACAAGAAGCTGACGTCTTAAATCACAGTGATTTAGTGGTCATTAAAATATGTTGAGAATTTGTGAACTGATGATGAGTCATCTAATAAGTCATAAGATATGACAGACTTCCCTTCACCATATAAGTTGCATTTATAAGTTAAAGGTTTCAGTATTGGTATTGTTATAGGAAACCCTGTATTTACTTGGTATTGGATATCAAAATTTGCTGTATTGCACAGCACTAGTCATCACTGCCTTGGTTTCCTGCGTTGGGCTGCTGGGCTGAGGTCGGCACAAACTGAACTCACACACAAACTGAAATCAGCAGATTGTGCAGGAAGGAGTTTGTTTGATGTTTTTTTCTTTCAAGAATGCTGATTTTTTTTTTTATTTTGTTTGTTTTTTTATATGTGATTTTAGTAAATAGGCTATAGTCAACGGGATTTATGAAGGGGTTGTATATAAAATAATGAACTGACTCATTTTGCAGGTATCTTTATGGCTCTCTCTTATTGGACCTATATTATAATCAATTCAGCCATTTTTGCCTACTTAAACTATCTTTATAGAACTCTTATATCTGTGACAATTTCTGCTGCCTTCTTGGGCCGATCCTTTAGAAAAAGATATTATTAATGCAACTTTTTATTTGGATAAATAAAGGATATGTAAAGGTCACTTTACCAAAAACGAATTGCAGATTCTACTTTTTGACTTATGTAATTACATCATTATATATACCTGATGTAGTTACACCAGATGTAAATCAATACAAGCCTTCCAAGATGTTTGACTTCTGTTTAATCAGTCCAAAAAATATGGAAAAAAAACCTACAAAACATATTTATCATAAACTTTGATCTTCGCTGAGACAAGAGAGGCCTGCACTTCTTTGTGGGTTTGTGGGAATGGCTATCAGCTAGCAGCTGGCTAGCAGGCAATTTCTCTTTCACAGGGCCTGGTAGGTTTTTCCCTTAAAAATTTTAAGAAATGCATTCTGTATTCATTCAAGTTATTTTTGCCCAAGCTTAAAATTAGCTTTCAATGAAAAAATAAACATTTGTTGGGGTAAATAGTTTGCTCATAGAGATCCATTGAGCAGTTTCATTTATTAATGTCCAAGACAGTCAAAAAATGCCTTTTATAAGCCATTGCAATTAGTTTATTTGTAAAACAAGTTCTGACATCATGCAAAAGCCCAAGTACTAATCGCCTTCAAAATGACAGCACAGAAAGTGAAAGTAGATTCCAAACACGCCTAACTGGCACGCACTACTGTGCAAATTTCACTATTAGAACATATGATCTGTCAATTGCCCCCATAAAGAAATGCTAAACCTGAGGAACTTTTAACTCCTTTTCATGAGGCTGTAAATTAGTTACAGTATGTGCAGCCAGTGTGTCAGTCCTGAAATGAAAAGCTTTGTGTTTTAAAGTCGTGATTGTTGTAGTCATCGTCTTCATGTTTGTGACGTACTAAAAGTGACAACAAAGTCATCGGGGTTAAAACCACTACAGGTCTCATCTGCTTTTGATTCATATGTTTGACCTCTCTGAGCTCACCCATACATTCAAAACAACCACAAACGCTTTGTCTCAAGGAGTGAACGTTTAGATTAGTAAGTTTGTAGAAAATGCAATTTGGGAAAATAATACACTGGCTGCTCAAGCCAAAAATGTCAAAGAAAAATTGGAATTTGAAAAGTACAAAATCATCATGACCAACACAAACAAAGCAGCCAGGCATGTCTGCGCACATACGAATAACTCAAAGAACAAAACTTCAGTGAGATCCAAACAAATAAGACACACACACACAAGCGGCAGTTTCTTTTCCAGGCAGCAGTTGTTCACGTAATGTTGCTGTGGAGTTAGGTGAACACTAATCCCTTAAATGTCAGCTAAATATTTTTGAGAAGTTGTGTCATTGGTTGGCAAACTAAACATACACATAGTGAAGTTGAAATACAGTGGGGTAACATTTGCCAAAAAAACAAAAACAAATCACAATTCAAATGTGGTCATTCCTTTTTGGCTTCTTCCTTCTCGTGTTGGATCTCTTCGTAGGTGGGCTCGTCGTCTTTTTCTTCCCCTTTTTCTTCCCCGTCGTCTCCCTTGGCGTTGGGTACCCAGAGCCCAGAGTCTATGCACCTCTTCATGTGAGCCTTTGCCACCTAAATCATGTAGAACGAATCACATTTATGAACCGAGTAAAGCTAGGATGTTTAAAAAAAGATATACATACATTTTTACATTTAAACAGACTCCGATAAGAAAAACTATAAACCTGCGCCACAACTCCAAACAACCTACCGTTGGATCCATTTTGCTAATAACCTCTTGCAGCATTTGGATGTCCTTCTCATCAAAGCATTTCTGCATCTCCTGCAATTACCAATGCAATCTGTGAAACACGCCATTCAAGAGAACAAAAACAAATGTGCTCAATTATGCTGAAAACTTACAGTTGGAAGTGACTCATACACTTCAACGGGATCGAGCCCTCCAGGTCCAAGGCGCTTCTGTCGTTCCTCTTCCTCATATTCCTTCATAGCCTTTTCTATCCGGATCTTCGCCCTTCCCCGAACGCGCTCCTTGAATGACTCCAGTTCATCATTGAAAGCTTCCTGGTACTGCTGATCTGCTGTCTGATAAGGCACACGTATGCACACATATGCACACAATTAGTACGATGGTTTCCCCACGTCAGAGACCGTTTACGGAAACTGTGCACTGTACACTGAGGACTAAATTTAGTTCCTGCACAACAGGTCTAGATGCAAAAAAACAAAAACAAAAAAACCCATAACAAAACTCCACAATCCCCTGGTGCACCAGACCAAAATTATTATTATGAACAAAAAAAAAATAACAACAAAAAAACGGTTTAGTTAAGTAAACCTGCATTTGCATACATCTGTCAAGCTTTCAAAACAGAAGGATTATAGGTTAGACTGTTTCTGAAAACAAGGGAGATAACGACAGATCGGGATTCAACATTGTGAACTCAGAGGAATCTGTCAAAGGTTAGGAACCGGTTCTCTACATTTGCCGAGTTCAGGTGATGATTAATGTTACCGTTCTCCACTTCTTTTAATACAAAAATTTAGACAGAAAGAATTTTTTTGACTGCGTTTTTTAATACATCCTCGACAATAAGCAAATCCCAGGAAGCTGAATCTGTTCATCTGGATGCAACTTTGCCAGCGGAAGAAATGTTTCATCACTAATAGACAAATTAACCACTCAGATGACCGATGAAGCGTTTCTCCCACAGAAAACTCTGAATCAAGATGAACAGAGTCAACCTAAATCCATCCCTGTGTAAAACTTTAGTGAATAGT